GGAAGGAAAGAAGGAAAGAAAGGAGGAAGGGAGGAAGGGAGGAGGAAAAGTATAAAAAATAAAATCCATGTAATATTGATATTAGATGAATTTGCTTGTTAAATTTATCATAAGTATAGAAATTATTCCTGCAAAAACGAAAGGCCATTTGCAATGGCTGAGTGGCCTTGGGTGGTACATGCAGCTTAGGGAAGCCAAAACTGCTGGGAAAAACGGCGTGATGAAAACCTCTACGAGGGCAACCAAATGAGGAAATTCAGACTTGCTGACCTTCCGTTTGTATGTTCTCCTTTAAGGAGAGCAAGATAAACTGCAAACGCAAATAGACCGGGCAAGCTCTCCGCACTTCTGCTTTGAGGACTTGGGTTCGTTCAAGCAGATGTTTCTTGCCCATCTGCTCCCTGAAGTGGTGCAAAACTTTCAGGGTCATCCTGGCCCATTGCTCAGCCCGTGGGCTGCATCTGTGGACCAGCCTTCTCCCCATGTCTGGAATGATAATTTGATGGGGGGAGGGGACCTCCTTCAGCTACGGTCTGACTATGATCCCACAGAAGAGTTCTGCTGGAATCTGCTGATCAAACAGAGATGCAGTGGCCGGTGGAAAGACTTCTGAATCAAGGCTAAAGTCCTCCCAGTTCTGGGAAAGTTCAACCATTTCTGGTGGGCTTTTTCAAAGCATTGATTTCTGCTTTTAGCCCTTCCAGATCTTTGTCCTTCCTGAATCCTTGCATCGGCCCCTTTCCCAACCAGCTTTCCTCTCCTCCTTGTAAGCACACCAATGTGGGGTGTGTGAAACCACACCCTGCCAGCAGCTGTGTATCCTCTTGCCTTTGCTAGACATTGCACACCGGTGCAAAGGTTGCACGCACAGAAAGGGCACTCTCTGTTGCACTAGAAAGCAGGTGTCTTTTTCTCAGGAAGGAAAAACACATCTGTGTGTGGGTTTGGGGGTGTCCTGCAGGGGGTGGCCCAACCCTGGCTCATTGAAAGCTGCCAAATCATTTTATCCCAGCAGAACTTTATTTATTTATTTATTGGTTGGTTGGTTGGTTGGTTGGTTGAAGTAATTTTAGGAAACATTGCAGTGAAAAAGACGAAAACGGATATAAAAAAAATTAAGAGAAGAAAAAGGGGGGAAATAGAAAGTGCAAAAAAATTTTAAAAATGGAAAGAAAAATAGAAAAGAAAGAAAAAATAAGAATATAGTAAAGAAAAGAAATGTATAAAGAAATGACTTCCCCCTTCATCACAAGTATAAACTATTTTAGTAACTTCTCACCCTCTCTTAAAATACAACAAATGATCTCTTCTTCCCATATCCCATCTCTTATTTATAAACAAATCCTTAAAGCCTCATCATTCAGTCCTGGACAACAAAAGTCCATTAAGGGTTACCATAGATAACAACGTATCTATTTTAACCTTGATCAAATGAACCAACTTTAAATTCCTTCCTTTTACTTTTAACCATCTTGATCTTTAATCCCTTCAAATAATGTCCTAAGAACTTGATTTCTTTTCATTTTTTCTTTGTCCCTTCTCTCAAAATTCTTCAAAACTTTAACAAGTCTTTTTTGTAAATCCAGTACAGAAAAGTTATCCAGGTCACTTTTTCGGTTTGTTACAACATAACTTTATTAAGCATGCAAACAACTCCAGTGTGCAGCGGGCTCACAACAAAGCATTGGTAGAACCACAACTTATATATCTTTGGCTCATGACATTACAAAAGCAAGATGAAGAAAAAGGCAGAGGCAGGGTAAATTACAGCATGACGTCGGAATGGCTTTGATAAACCTATCTGGGTGACCTTCTCATTATTTATCACTTCCTCCTAGGTCAGCATGCTAGCTATGCTATTTTTGAGATATGGGATTGGGCCACTGGTTCCTGTCTGGCATCTTATAGGGTTGGCAGTGAATATAGCTTACGTATGTGGGTAAGGTTACCTTATACCTCTACGTGTGGCATTATAATCAATACTACAGGTTTTAGGAACAGGGGAAATGTCTACTCTACAAGAAGGGCCTTGATGAGGATCTACTCTTCAGGCTCTTCCAAATGCCATTGTTAGAAGGGCTTTGCAGGACAGTGCTCCCAATCTTTGCAGTCCTGAGAAGGCTGTTATTTTTTAACTCTGAAAATTGGCCACATGCCTGAGGACAGTGAGAAGTGAACCATTATACAGAATGTTACAGAGTCCTAGCACATCAGGGATCCTGTGTTACAGAATTCTAGCACATCAGGGAGCCTGGTTCAGTCTAGTTCAGCGGATCTCTCTCTCTCTCTTTCTTCTTACAGGCCAATCAATAAAAACAAAACAAGGGAAAAATACTTAAAAAAGAAAAAAGAAAGCAAGCTGTACAGAATGTTACAGAGTCCTAGCACATCAGGGATCCTACTTCACTCTAATCCAGCAGTTTTCTTTTCCTCTTATAGGCCAATCAATAAAAACAAAAAAAAATACTTAAAAAAAAAAAGCTATAGCTATGGCCCTGGATGACAGAGTCAGACCAGAGCCAAACAGTGCCCAAAGTATTAGAATGTAGGTCACTGTTCAGGATTTTATCCACTTATTGCCTTTTAAAAAAATCTATTTTATCTATTTATATAAATTATCTGTTGCCCCTTCCTCAAGTTTCATTGCCCCAAAGCAGGTTCAATCACCATTAAATGCATTTTGGGACCCCTCCTCTCCTTACACAACTGGAAGCAGCAGCTTGAGAAGTCTCAGAAAAGTGAAGCAGGCTTGGAAATGGCCAGCCTGTGGATGGGAGGCCACCAGGATATATCAAGGTGGTAAATTAAAATGGGAAATAATAATACTAAAAAAGCCTGGGAGAAATTAGTGATCATATATGCACATTTGGGAGCTCCTTTTCACCTTCTCCCAAGGGGTATCTGCAGGGTGTGGTCACAAGAGTCCAGATGGTGTCCATGATGGTGGGATCAAAGCTCCACCTGCTTTTACATGCATTGTGATGCACACAAAACCAGGTGAAGCTTTGATCCCACCATCACCGATGTCCTCTGGACTCTTGAGATCACACCCTGTGGACACCCTGCTCTTCCTCATACAGGTAGTCCTCACTGAGTGACCATTCACAGTTACGACGGTGATGAACAAATAACTTTGCGACCAATCATTGCATTTATGACCTTCACAGGTCTGTAAAGCAAAGGAAAGCTGAAGATTGTAAACACCATCACAGTTTCACTTAGAGACTGCTTCACTTAACCACTGAGTTGCTGGTCCCCATTGTGGTCGCTAAACAAGGACTACCTGAATGTTGTTTACAGTATTTTCACTACAAAATCAACCCCGCTGGCATTCTGAATGTGGAATGAAAGAGAATGGTTCTAGAACAACCATTTTCTCATTTTTTTCTCAGGCCCTTCCTTCAACCTTTAACTGAGGCCAACCAAGGAAGGGACCGGCTGCCGAAAACAGAGAAAGCTCTGACTTAAGAATCAGGATGCAGAGATCAGTGAAATGTATACCACCTACTCCAAAAAGATGGTATGAAGAAGGTCAAAACAGCCAAGCTGGAATGGCCAAAGTGGGACGGGGGGGTGGGGAATAGAAAAATCCACCCCTTTATGTCTCCTACATTGGACCATTCTTTGACTGGCTGATTTAAATTTCTATTTATGTTTGTTTCTATTTCTTTAAATGGCTGCTCTGTCCCACTGGCTCGCTGAGTGCCAACTCCTGCACTGTTTGCATACGATTATTATTTAGCCCCATCAATATTTATCCACAGTCAGATTGTTTTGACGGCAACTCTGCACTTTAATTAGCAAGTGCGCCTTCTTAGATTCACTTATTTGCTACTGTCTTCCTGCATTATTGTCATCATTATTTTTAATTATGACGGTTCTCTCCCATTGCCACTGTTGCTTTTGGCTGGGGGCTTGAAGAGAACCATTCAGATGGAGGAGCTCGGAATAGCAATGGACACTTGGGGACAGACCAGGAAGCCTTCAATTTGTAGCGATTCTGGGATGGAATAGTTAAATCCGTGGTCAGCAACTCCTTTTCAAAGAGGCCATTTTTGATTTGGGAGATCGATCCCGCGGCTGGCCCACTCCTGCAGCTCCAAGCAGCCCATAATTTGTAAGACAATAAAATACCATTTAAAAAATGTGATCAGTATAGAATCCCACAAGTAAATTTTCCACAGCAGCAAATGTTCCCCAAGGTCAAAATTTGTCCTCTATCCAAGGAGTGTAGAGCTGAGTCTAATGGCTTTTTGAACTTCTCCACTTAATCAGAAGGTAGAGAAAGTGGATGGAAGGTTTCTCAACATTTCTCCAAGGGAAAGAGAAATTCTCCAACAATTTCTCAAGGGCAGGATCCTACCTTAGCAGGGATTGAAGTCCCACTAGTGAAAGAACCCCGAAAGAGGAGATCCATCAACCTTGGGGTTGAATAGAAGTGGGGGAAGCCAGGGAGGCTGCAGACTGTTAGGTAGGAAATGAGGGAAGCCAGGGAGGCTATACACTGTTAGGTGAGAATGGGGGAAAGCAGGGATGCTATAGACTGTTAGGAAGAAATGGAGGAAGCCAGGGAGCCTATACACTGTTAGGTGAGAATGGGGGGAGCCAGGGAGGTTGTAGACTGTTAGAAAGAAATGGGGGAATCCAGGGAGGCTATACACTGTTAGGTGAAAATGGGGGAAAGCAGGGATGCTATAGACTGTTAGGAAGAAATGGAGGAAGCCAGGGAGCCTATACACTGTTAGGTGAGAATGGGGGGAGCCAGGGAGGTTGTAGACTGTTAGAAAGAAATGGGGGAATCCAGGGAGGCTATACACTGTTAGGTGAAAATGGGGGAAAGCAGGGATGCTGTAGACTGTTAGGAAGAAATGGAGGAAGCCAGGGAGGCTGCAGACTGTTAGATGGAGGACTGTGGGATGAAAGACAAAATATTCATACATACAGACTCATTGGCTGCCATGACACTCAGTAAATGCAAGAACATCACATTCTACCTCCCCTGCCCCATGACAGTTGCTCCACAATACTCTTTTGTGAAAAAACGTTTAAAATAAATTCTCCTTCATTTGGATGGATGTGAATTGGTGGAGAAAAATGCCTCTATTTCTCTGCCTGCACTAATAGATTCTTTTCCTATGCCTTGCTGAAAATGCCCTATTTACTGAGGCAGGCCAACCAGGATTAGCCTGAAATTTCAGGTTTATTTAAGCTCTGTCTCAGGGACTCTGGAGGAGGACTAAGGACTCGGGGAGACAAGAGAGAAAGCTACTTTCTGCTCAGCTCCATGAGCAATTTTACTACCAGCTTGTCCCAATGTGCACCAGCCCTAAGCTTCATAGCAACGTGACAGCAGCAGAAATGCAATTTTAGGCCATAATCCAAAGAAATAATTTCTGAGTCCCAAGGAGTTAATCCTTCTGTTTAATTCTGCACTTCTCAGAGTTGATGTGGGGGAATATTTCTAATTCTCACTTCTTCAGTTGAAAAAAGAAAAGGACAGATTGGAAAACGTTTGAGGGAAATTGAGAGAGTAGGACAGGAAGTCTCCGGGTTAAGAACACCCGGTTTACGGATGACCCATAGTTAAGAACGGAGCCCCTTGTAGCAAAATTTGAGTTAAATACACAGTGGTTCGAGTTCATTATACAATACTACTTGTACAGTATTATACAATAACACTGTTTCAGCTTATGTACAAATTTGACTTAAGGACAGGCCTTGGGAACGGAACTTCCCAAACAGTCTCTTTTTAATGGGCGGTGACAAATTTGACATATAAATAAATAAAAATAAATAAAACTTGTTCTTAAATTGGAGACTACCTGTACACCAAAGACAAGAAACCCTGAAGAAAGGGGTTTCTTCTGGAGACTCAGGAGTGCGTACTTCAATGGCTGTCATAGACAAGGTTGCCAAAATCCTCTTAGCCTCTGAGCACAGATCTAATGATTTAAGCAACAGGAAGATATAGAATTGGTTTAAACCAGTGTTGTCCAAACTTGGCCACTTTAAGATGAGTGGACTTCAACATGGCTGGCTGGGGAATTCTGGGATTGAAGTCCACTCATCTTAAAGTGGCCAAATTTAGACAACACTGGTCTAGAGCAATGTTCTTCAAAGCTGGCAACATTAAGATGTGTGGACTTCAACTCCCAGAATTCCCCAGGCTCCTGAGCTTAGAGGTTTGAAAGCCAAGCCCAACTCAGTGATTGCACCACCATCTAAGCAAAACTAGCCACCTGATCCACCAGTGACTCCTCGCTATCCCAACTGGGGAGCGGCCATGCATATTTCTCAAAAGACAGCAGGGAGAATGAATAAGAAGTTGATGTTCCTCAAATACTGGGGTTTTAATCTTAAAATTTTCATTGTGGCTCAAGCCTGAGGCTAAAATGTGGGCTGATCCAGCACTCCAATGTTCTTATGGAGAAGTCTTCAAGGTCAGACCCCAGAGCATATTGCAACAGAGGTCAATCTGAGAATTCACAAAGGTATGGATGAGACAGGCACAATAAGAGTTTTTCTCTGAGCGGAAAATTCCTCCATGATCATACAGAAATGATATGATGTAGTGGTGGATCCAAATGCCTCTGCAAGTCGTTATCATGTCACTGAACATCCTGTCCTGTGAACTAACCAAAGTTTAGCAAACTATCCAAGATACAGGCAAGGGAAGAATAGACTTTTCTTGGGTGACTCCTGCATTGAAATTCCACCAGGAATATTTTCTGATGCCTCTTCTTTTCTCTCCATTCTTGATAAATTGTGTTGGTCAAGCTACTCCAGGAGATGTTTTCAGGAAGATGGAATCTCATAAATCAAACCTCTGGACTATCATCCCCACCAGTTTTTTGGGGGGGAGGCGGAATGCTTCTTGTTGGGGGTGGTGATTCTGGTTTCATGGCACTCTATTAATTATCAAATAATCAATCTAATATGCCCTGCATCATTTTTTATCTAAAAATGGATGAGTTTCCACCTTCTACAATCCTTTGCCTTCTCAAGATAAGAAGGACCACCTTAGAAAAGAGAAGAAAAGAGGTAAACATGCATACAAAGAACACATCTACACAGTCAGTCAAAGCACAGGACGTATCTTTGAGGTCCATCTCTCTTCAGAAAGTGAAATCTGTTGAATCCTACTTGGCTTTCCTTGCCAAAAGCTCTGCATGTATCTGGAAAGTTAGTGCATGCTAGGGAGGTGGGCCAACTTCTTGATGTGTTAGCTTTCAAAAAGCAAGAGGAAGGATTGATTGATTGATTGATTGATTGATTGATTGACTGACTGACTGACTGACTGATTTATATGGGCAGTGAGATGTAATCCTGGGGTTGGAAAAGTAACAGTCATTTACTTTACACATTTTCATAGGGTTTAAAGTTCTAAGAAATTGCTCATTTTCCTTTTGGACCCCTTGAATGGTGGGAGTGAGATGTAATCCTGGGGTTGGAAAAGTAACAGTCATTTACTTTACACATTTTCATAGGGTTTAAAGTTCTAAGAAATTGCTCATTTTCCTTTTGGACCCCTTGAATGGTACAGAGGCTTGGTCTACAGGTGATGTGTGTTGCCTGTTTAGGTTCTCTGCTGTCCTTGCTTGGACTCCAAAGCCAGAAATCTTTCAAGGGTAGCATCAGCAGAACACTTGAACAATGGGACACTTGTTAGTATCTACTGAGGACAGACCACATCAGCTACACCCTTTTCCCCACAGTTGCTTGGTCTTTGTTAGAAGCTTACAAGCCAAGGTTAAATGGTTCATGACTAACATCAACCAAATTCTATGTTGGCCAAATTAGATGATCTTCAAGGTTCCTCCAACTCTATGAGAAAGGCCTCCAACAGAAAGGGCCTAGGGTCCTTGTTCAATTCTCAGGATACTCTGGGGAAGCCAAGGAGGTTATTAAACTGATTTCTATCAGTTCAAACATATTTTTTGAATATTCTGCTGTCCAAATGCACTATTTGGGATTGAAATGTTCTTTGTCAAAAGAGGGGAGAAGTTCCTTTAGCCAAATGCAATAAGTCATCTATTAACGATTTAGGTATTTATGGCCTGCTGTTGCTCGGGGAGGTGTAAATACGAAGGGCGTGTGTATCAGTCTTGATCTGATTTGAACCATCCATCACTTTGAATTGCCACATTGATTCAGAGTGAATATCTGAGTCAGACCAGCTCATGAGATGGGGTCTATAACTGCCTCTGTCCATCCCAAAAGTTCTTTGTGCTGGAAGCAACTGATTCAGCTCAACGATCTAAAGCAGCTAGCTAATTCAGAAAGCCAATCGATTCAATTGAGATGCTCTGAAATCAAATCTCCCAATGGAATATGAAACACCCCTCCTAAATATCCTCCAATATTTTATACTCACCGCCCTGCAAGGTGGGAAAGGCTGACCAAGGTCACTTTGGTGTGGATGAGATTCAGAATTGGCATTCTTCAGCTTCACTGTACTAAGATGGCCTTCACTATAAGACGGATAAATATAATCCTCCCAGGCATGGCCAAAGTTACTATCATTCACAGCCTCCTTTGTGTTCAGAAGATACCAGGGTCCAACCCTATAACATTTCTAGGACTAGTTTGTTAGGTCACCGCACGCAGATATGCACACTCATTTGCCATTCAGACTAATTCAGCTTATTTGATGTTGGCTTTGTATGAAGGATGGAACAGAACCATTGTGTGGTTTACAAACCATACTTTCATGGCTTAGCACTTACCTGTGTATCCAGCCAACTGTGGCATCTTCGGCCAACTGTGATGATGCAAACATGTTCTCAGCATGTGGACAGTACTGGATTAGACAAAACACTGGTCTAACTGTAAAGCAATTTCATTTGTATCAACATTCAACTTGTATGCACATCAGTTCCTCAACCTATTGTGGCTTAGTAGGTTGTACAAACCTATTTATGATTTGCTGTATTAGGCAAACTCAAAAAATGGGTTAATCCAATAACCCAGTTGGGTATGTTGTATGAACATAGCCAGTGAAGGTGGAGAGGATGAACTGGGATTTGATAAATTCAGTAGTTGGCAATGGCGAAAGATGGTTAGGATTATCAAATTCAGTTCAGGAGGCATGTCGTAATACACTCTGGAAAAGCAATTAATTCTGTTTCCATCTTTTGGCTGCAAGATAGGAAAATGGGATGGGGGTTAAGAAGGTAGATTGTGGAGTCCTTGGTGCTCTCTAAGCTGGTTGTTTGCTGGCAGATGTTTCATTACCCAACTAGGTAGCATCATCGGCATGTTATCATGACCAACACTGATGATGTTACCTAGTTGGGCAGTGAAATGTCTGCCAGCAAACAACCAAGCTGAGAGAGCACCAAGGACTCCACAGTTCAACCCTGAGCTAAGATCTTCTCTTCTGTTGGAAGGTTAGATTCTAAACAGGCTTTGCATTTTAGAAACCGTCTGAGACAGCTGCTGTCCACCTTGCTTTCTACATAGACGAAAAAGTGAATGTTAGTTTAACATTTGAGGAGCATTCTAGGAAAGTCCTATTAGCACAGCTGATGGCCCAGTGAACATTTGCACAGATAGTGCTAGGATGATCTGGGCCTGGTATTCCTTTACATTTACAGAGATTTGTGCCCCAACGGGACAAATTGTTGTGGGTTCCCATAGGATGGTGTCACTTTTTCCAAACCCTGGGTCTGTTATAAGCACTTACCTTCTCTGTGTACACCAGGCACTGCTTTTCACTGATAAGTGTTTTCCTTTTTTTCTTCAGACAATTAATTTATATTGGAAAGAGAAAAATGACTCTTGGTTCCACTATGTTTCTGCTCCACTGCTCCTAAATGACTAACAGCCTCTGAAGGGTTCATACACTGGACTAAGCAGCAGGTTGTTGAACTATGGTTTGGTCAACAAGCCACAGTTATGGCAAGAAGGCAGCCGCTGATTGGGGGACCCAATGGATGATACAGATGAAGGCCACACTGGGGGAGAAAAGCTTCAGGCTGCATTGGTAGCTGTAAGAAGTCACAGTGATGTCAAAATGATGACATGTCAAAGGATGCAACTATTTAATGTCCTGACATCTGATGCAAAAACATAATTCACGTCATTGGCATGATGACGACGTGGTGCATGAGTCAGCAATTGCCTGTCTTGTCCTCCTGCCTCATAGTGGGGAGCTAAGCATTGATCATTTCTTCTCCTGAGAACGTTGCTGGAGATGTCACCTTCTCTGGTTCTACCATAGGATGGCCTTTAAGAAAATGCTCCACTCTGTTTCTTTGGTTCGGGCTGAGAGAGGTATCAGAATCCAGGCATCGTGGCTTGTGAACCATGGCTTATGCCAAGGTTTCATGGCTTGGTGTGAACCAGGCCACTATGGCTTGTTTAACAAACTGTGATGCTAATAAAACCATGGTTTAGCACCAGATGTTGACAAGGAATACATTTATTTAGTGAACAGGTGAAGCAAGGATGTTTGGGGGGGTTTAAAAAAATCAAGATGGCCATGCAGAGGGCAGCCATCTGGGCTTTTTAAAAACCACCCTATGAATTGGATTCCTGTCTACTTCTTTAGCCTTCTTCTTCTTCTTCATTCAACCACTGTTCCAGTAGTCTCTGGAAACTAGGAATGTGTGTGTGTATAAAATACAATCCAAGTCTGTGTATAAAATGCACATCTGAGTCCTTCTAGCCTCCATGATTATGCTAAGATAATGACAGTTTTGATGTTTTTGTGGTCACATTTTTTGTTAACAATAATGTAATCAAAATGTTTTTTCTCCAAATTTCCTTCAAAGACGTTAAGGGCAATGGGAATTGTAACCCAAAACAACTGGGGCCACCAGATTGGAAAAGACTGATCTTGAATTATCTTTTATCTTTTTTTAGCTTTTTACTCATTCTTTTTAGATTCTCATTTTCACTCTTGATATAGATTTTCAGATCCTTTATGCATCCTTTTAAGGACTGTACTCCACCCCCTTTCGCTGATCTGTGTTCGTATTAAAGATTTAATTGCACTGGATCTTGAATTCAGTCCCAATCTTTTCTTACAGAAACAACAGCAACAACAATGGGAATGACTTTCTCCCGTCTTTTCGTTGCGACCTAAGCGTGGCAATTCTTGTCATTTGCAATTTCAATTCCTTATGCATCTCCATTCGTTCCCTTCCTCCCACCTTGGCCCTTGAGATCCTTGATATAATAAATAATCAATAAACACAAAAACATACTTTATTTGTTTCTTCTTTATACAAAATAAAGAAACTAGGAGCAAAAAAAACCCTATAGTACATCCTTAAACACGGGTAGCCTCCAAGAAAGGTTTGGATCGGGGTTTCTTACTGACATCCCCAAACGATTTGCTTTTCTCTCTTTTTATTTTCGCTGTAATTGGTAGCCGGGGTGGGGTGGGGTGTTGTGTTTCCTCCCCAATAAAAATAAGAATATAATAATAATAATAATAATAATATTAATTAATTCAACCAAAGGAACTCAAAACCCTCCCCAGTCCATCTGAAGGCATCGAAGAGGTCCTCCGTGCCATTCCAGCACTGACCACCAGGGGGCGACGCGTCACCAGCAAAACCCTCCAGCCCCCCCCCTCCCCTTCCACCGTCCCATCCGCGTCAAAGAAACCTTCTAATTAAAATAAATCCGTTCTCTTCCTTTTCTTTTGGATCCGATTCCGGAGAAACGAAAGCAAAGCAAAGCAAACGCCAAACTGCTTTTTCTTGTAGGTTTCTTTTCTTTTCTTTCCCCCCCCACCCCTTTTCTTAAAAAGAAAAAAAGAAATC